ACCCTAAACCCTAAACCCTGCACTGCAGAGGCTTCACAGGGCCCAGGGAGCCTGGACCCGCCCTCGTTGACGCGGCTCACTTCAAGGGCTTTGGCGGAGGAGGCCCAAGCTGCGGTAGCCTTGCTTCAAGAGGAGGAACCTAGCTGGCACTTTAGGGTTTAGGGTTAGGGTTTAGGGTTTAGGGTTTAGGGTTTAGGAAACCTGAAAATATCCCTGATGGTTCCTATAGAGGTACCTCTTCATAAAGACTCTTCAGGGCCCCAAGACTACAACCCAGGAGCTGACAGCTTTGCGAACATCAAGGGATGCCAAGGTCAAGAGCTTGCTGGAGGTCTTGTCACTGCTGATGGCAGGCATGGTTCCTGGAGGAAACTCAGCCGGTCCCTCTGGTCCGCTTGCAGGTGGGTAGTTTTCTAGAATATAGTACGGGAACCTTACAAAAAGGACCCCAAAAGGGACCCTAATTTAGAAAACTACCCAGGCGTTGAGTCTTTGATGGAGCAGCCTCGCTACTTTCTCAGTGCTTGCAGCTCTGTCTTGTCTTGGATCGACGAAGGGAAGCTGCCCGAGCAGAACGTCGAGTCTGCTCGGGCTGTGAAGAGCAGCCTGCCCTGGCCCTTCCAACCTGAAGCTTTGGCGGACAGCGGACGCCCTGCTGCTGCAGTGTGCAGATGGATGGTGGCCATCTTCGCTTATTACGATGCTGTGGAGAACTGGGAACCATGACCCACAGAGGCCAGGCTGATGACCATGGCTATGGCTGGGATGAGTGAGGATAACTCCAGCTTTACAGCAAAAACACGCAGCTTTTGCCATCATGGACTAACTTCAAAGGGTTTCACCATGCTTCGCACCTGTTGCAGGCGCTTCTAGTGAGAGCTTGTACCCGGAGGAAAAAGACTGTTGGAGTACAGGAGTGCCAAAACTATCAAAGCAATTAAGGTACATTAACAGCAAGCCGGCAAGGAGGGAAGTACAGCATTTCGGACTTTCTTTTGCGAGTCAGAAGTCAAGTTTTCAGGGCAGGTCAAGCAGTAGTTGTTGCCGGGTGGTTGGTGCTTCCAACTGAAGCTGCGCATAGCTCACCACTCAGCTGTTGTGGCAAAACCTGGCAGGTTGACGTATGTGTTGATCCTTTTGCTTGGTTTTTATCACTGGCTTGTCAACCACCGATACTGGGATATCAACATGATACTGATTGGTGGTTAACAATATCTTGATTTGTGGTATTTACCACAATTGCTTAGACCCGGCGGACTGTGCTAGTTTCATGTTTGTTACCCTGGAGGTGGGACTGTTGGTAAGAATGAGATGGGCTCATACCACCGTTTACAGGCACATGTGTCTTTTGTATAACATGACATGATGATTTTTTCATGTGTATTTACCCTCTGAATACATCTCCCCGGGGCTCCTTATTATAATTCTATTATAAAGGACCCCAAAACCCTATTCTAATTATCAAGGCCCCTACATTACACTCTGGGATCCCTTAGGAGAACCCGCGCTATTCCATTTGGTAAAGTCGCGGTATCACAGAACCCTTTTGGCCACCGTTCCCTGGAAAGGAACCCGTAAACGATCCTGCAGAAGTCTTTCTCGTTGCTAAACTTTAAACCCTAAACCCTAAACCCCAAACCCTAAACCTTATATAAACTCTTTAAACACCCCGAGGATGCGCTCGTCATTATCTGGACAACTTCGACTCCGACTCCGAGGAGGAGGAGGCCGCCTGCTTAGCGTCTTAGCCCCATGCCATTGAAGACTCAAGGTTGGATACTGCCCCCACTCAGTAACAGTTGGATAATATTCATAATAGAGATATACAAGGCCCTTACTAGTAGCCCTATTATAGACTGTTACTGTATGGCGGCAGTACCCAAGCTCAAGGTTTCGAGTTCAGGGTGGTCTCCAGGCTCTGGGGCTATAGGACTTAGGGTTTAGGTTTAGGGTCTAGGGTTTAGGGTTTAGGGTCTAGGGTTTAGGGTTTAGGGTCTAGGGTTTAGGTTTAGGGTCTAGGGTTTAGGGTTCGAGGGATGTGAGTTCTGATGGTATTGAAGGGTCAGATCTGAAAAAAGGTTGAGGGGTCGTTCAAAAAAAGACCCCAAACCCTATAACCCTAAACCCTATAACCCTAAACCCTAAACCCTAACCCTAAACCCTAAACCCTAAACCCAATAACCCTAAACCCTAAACAGGTTTCTCGGGCTGCCGAAGACCTTCACTCATTCTTGAGCCTCCCTCCTTCGCAGCTTCAGGTTGGTGCGTTTTTTCTAGTGGCTTTGGGTTTAGGGTTAGTTTAGGGTTTAGGGTTTAGGGGTTTAGGGTTTAGGGTTTAGGGTTTAGGGGTTTAGGGGTTTAGGGTTTAGGGTTTAGGGCTTATGTTGACCCCAAACCTCAGCCCAACCCCCCCCCAAAACAAACCGTGAGCCCTGAAAGACATGCTGCCGTGAAATGCCAAACCCACACCTGGGTTTACCTATACTGCTTTGAGGCTCCTAATTATAACTATGGTATAATATATCCCCAAACTCTTATTCTAGTTAGAAAAGGCTCTATATTACATGTTAGTCAGTCACTTAGTCACTTAGTCCCTTTGATCACCTCTTAAGATTGATACGTGGGTAGTTCTCTAAATGAGGATCCCTTTCAGGGTCCTTTTGAAAAGGGTGCCGTACTGTTTTGGGGACCGGAAAAGAAACTTTAATTTGGAGAATTACACACGTGTTGCTCCAAACTTATAGCTGCGATTTGATGTGCGCACGCCAGCTCTCAAATCATTAGTAGGTCGAGGTTGAGGGTGTTGAGGTTGGTGAGGGTTCAGGGTGCTGGGCTTACAGTTAAGGATTGGCGGGCGTTTGAACTTAACGTGAATAAACTTACTGTACCAGGTTCGCTTTGCACGCTCCCCCAATCCCCAGTACAGTACAAGCAAAAGCCTCTGGTTCAGATCCTTCTTGAGCCTCTTGGATCCTGCTTGTAGTGACTTGGGTGCACCCCTTACCCTACACCCTAAACCCTAAACCCTATACCCTAAACCCTATATACGACCTCCAGGACGTGGAGCTTCAGGTATGCCGGCGATCGGAAAGATCCGGTCGCTGCCGAATTGCGTTGGCTCCTTCCCGGACAAAGCAGCAGGACGGGAAGGGTTTGGCTTAGGGTTTCAGGATCAGTATGGTTTAGGGTTTCTAGGGTTTCTAGCGTTTTAGGGTTTAGGGGTAGGGAACACCAGATCAGGGAGTAGGGTTTTGATTTGGTGCTGTGGCTTTTCTCGCTGTTTACCACCCAATTCCGACCCCTAAACTCCTACACCCTCATCACGAACCTCTTTTCGCTCACCGAAGGGAGCTCACCACTAACGACTCCCTGGGAGCATCTTCCGATGCGACCAACACAAAAACTCCCAAACCACCATTCAGGGTTTAGGGTTTCGGGTTGAGGTTGTCGCTGAAGGGTTCAGGGCCCAGGTTGCTTATCGGCGCAAGGCCTCGTTCCGCAAACCCCAAGCCGTGCTCCTGCAATTTCTGAACTATGCAACTGTCAGTTGTCACCTCAACACCTAGATCTTGAAGCCCAAGACCCCAAACCCTGGACCCTGGACCCTGATCCCTGGGTTGAGCTCGAATGAATTAAGCTCGAGTTCCCAAAACGTGCCCTTCTATATGTGTATGCATGCATGGGTGCAGCACGGATGCTTGTGTGCATGTATGCACGGGTGGAGGAAGGCAAGGACTGGGCACGAGTATCTGCTTGACCCAGGCTTGGGTCAGTATCTGTCTATATATATGTACACAAACATATATATATGTATATGTTTATACATATGTATATATACACGCACACACACACACACACATATATATATTATATTATATTATATTATATTATATTATATTATATTATATTATATTAAATTATATT